GTGTGTGTGAAATGTTAGTCTGTGTTCTAGGAAGAGATGTGTGTTGGGCAGGTATACCAGGTAAAGGAATAGGAGAGTCTCAAGATAACATGGTGGAGCTAGTATGGGATGGTAGGGTCCTTGAGTTGGTAACATTGGGGGACGCTGATATTGGTGGTCGCTACCTAAAAAAAGTAAGTTGATCGCCGATGGTGGTGATGGTCGGGAGACTCCAACGGGAAGGGGTTTTGTCACCGATATTGGTGACGGAAAAGAATGATATTTGGGTGTGTGCGCCACTATTAGGGGTCGAGAGATAGGCAGTTTATTAGTGGTCGCCGATACTAGTGACCAGTGAGAATGGAATCTGTGTGTGTGTGTGGCCTATTAGGGGCGAGGATAGGCGGTTTATTGGTGGTCGCCGATACTGGTGACGGGTGAGAATGAAATCTGTGTGTGTGTAGCCTATTAGGGGTCGAGAGATAGGTGGTTTATTGGTGGGCGCTGATACTGGTGATGGGTGAGAATGGTATTTGTGTGTGTGTGTGGCCTATTAGGGGTCGGGAGATAGACGGTTTATTGGTGATCGGTGATATTGGTGACGGGAGAGAGTATTTGTACGGTTAGGGGACGTCAAGGGGCGGTCACAATTAACATGCATAATTTTTAAATTACCAATGGTAGGTATTAGGTTGAGTAGGTGAAGTACATATAGGACTCTTAAGTTCCCTATTGTTGTATATGATGCTTGTAACTTAATTTTTACTGTACTGAGTTGTATATACTCATTCCTTATTATTTACAGATGAAGTAGGGATGGAGTCGGGATCGGAGTTGCTGATTTCTGAGCCTAGCGGATAAAGGAACATGGCAATAATACTTTCGTTTTTTTGGCATGATTGAGTGTGTAATAACTAGTAGTGGGGTAGATTAGTGTGTCTGCTGGGAGTCTGTAAAATTATTCTTCACTGTGATATTACATGTAGGGTTGCAGGTTTATTGTGACTTTAAATAATAGATTGCGGTAAGGTTTTTATGTTTGTGGTGGATTTGGAATGACG